AAAATAACAACTAATAATAAATTAATAAAAAAATGTCCAAACCTTGACATCCTAACTTTCAAAAACTCCCACTGAGATTTCTGATTTTATTGTTTATTTTTCTTCTCATGCATTATTTTGTCCTTTTTTTCTTACTAACTTGGACTCTGTGGATTTCTTTCTTATTAGCTGTCTGTGACATGCTACCATATCTTCCTGTTTGTTTGGTGGGTTAGCTGTTTTTTTCCCCAAAGCTCCTAACACTTTATCATATTACTAAGGAGATTTTTCCTCAGTAGGCTTTTCTATCATAGCAATTGACTGAATTCAGGTGTGACACCACACCTTTGATGTAGATTTGCAGATTTTTCATAAACTAAAGACTGCAGCATGCTCTTATGATAGTCATGATGATCACTGTTATGTTTATTTTTAAAGCAGCTTTCAGAATACAAACTAAAGTATGATTGTTTGGGTGGCAAACAACCCCAGTGTGGCTTGCATTGAGTGGCAAAAATACACTCATTACCTTCTAATGGATGATTTATTTAGTTTGCAGCCTAAAACCAAACTTAACATTTCATTGTAGATTTGTATCACTTTACAAGGATGCATATTAATAGGAATAATATTTGAATGGGTTTATGCCTTTATCTCAGAAAATGTTGGGCCCATAGAAATACTTACTACAAGTTGCCCACAGAACACCAGTGTGAATCATTCCCCAGCTGACATCTCTGTGGGAATGCATTTCAAGACATATGATTTCTTTCAGTACTGCAAACTTCTATGTCAGTTCCATTTGTTTGCTTTTTATAACATTTATGACCTTTTAACTATTTGGGCATGTTCATTCAAAAGCCTCAAGATGAGTCTTAATTAAAAAGGGCTGATCTAAAAAAAATACTCCCTCACTCTGGCTAGAATTTCTGTCATATCAGTCCACAGACAGGAACAAATGAGATTTAGGAGTAGTGGCGTTTTCAGTTTGAGTTAGTAGCGTGAGCTTATGTGTTCTTGCTGAACACTGCCATTTGCAAAAGAGCAATTAAAACAGATGACAATCTGCTAATCATGCACAGATCTATTTAGAAACTTAACAGTATTTTCCCAGTTTGTGTTTTTGCTTCACTTTCTAAGAGTGAAAGGAATTTTTATGTATTTATATTGTATATAACAGTATGTCAATTTGGGTAGCTTTACCACAGATCAACAGTTTTCAGTAGGCTAAAAATATATTCCAACATTGTAAACATTTTTAGAGAACACTCTGTGTGTTTGTGTAGTATATATTTGTGTGCATATATCTATGTTTGTATGAAGAGTATATTCCATATTCGGTTTACATAAAATCATTTTTATGCAGATAGACAAATTCTGCATTTGTTAACAATAGAAAGTAATGCAATATATATATATAACTGCTAAATAAAAGATGATCAGGAGGAAGGAAGCAGAGACATGGTCATGATTTGGGATTTAGGAGTAGTGGCATTTTCACATTGAGTTACAAAGGTTGAGCTTGCTTGATTTACTGATCACTGATCACTCTCATGATTTGTAGGATTTGTTTGTGATTTTAACCTCAAAATCATGAAGGCCTGGCAGTGGTAATGCTCCACTGGTATTCAGATAGGAACATTGGCTACACCTAGAGGCAAACTAATTCCGGTGGCTTTGACACCAATGTTGAGAAATTCCAGTTATTTTGGAAGAATCTCTGAACAATGAGAATCAAGAGAGAAATGCTTAGGAAGAAGGGAATAGGAGTCTGAAAAGGAAAAGGGACAGCAATCAGATATAGGTATTGTATTTGACCACCACACTACGACGCAAGGTTATCATTCCTGTGCACATCTGTGAGTTACCTCTGTTTTTCCTAGCACGGGTTGAAGTCTTCGTATTTCTGAAGTGCAATGCTTTTTGCCTGGTGTAAGTTCTTCATGAATGACTACATGAACTTCTCAGCTATGCACAAGAGCATGCTGGAAGTATAAAGGCTAAAGAAATGATTTCTCCATCTTCTCCCAAACTCATGATTTCAGAGGGTAGTGGGCAGTTCCACAGACAGTGTGATTTTTTTTTTTTTTCCATGTTGGCACTATAGGATCTAAATAAAAGGATATTCATTTTGAACCTCATTCTTTTGTAACTAATCTTGAGAATATAAAGGAAATATTTTACATTTTTTAGCAACGTTCGAACTCTTACTATGTATTACTTAATCATGGAATTGCTTTATCTATAGCATAACATGTCTGGATTTATTTTAAAGTTGATGTGTCTAATGCTTTCTGTCTTTTCCCATACGTTAGGGGAATTAGTCAAACACATTAATAGAGAATATACCTGTCTTATAATAAGCTGAGCATTGATATTAGATCAGCTGCTGAGTCCCTATATGACATTTTAAGTCCATTATCAATAAATATGATTTAATTGAACTTTTAATGGTCCATCATATCGTTATTTGGGAAACAGGAAGATTTATGCTTATTGTATATCTTCATTTCAAATGTTTTTAAGTTATATAAACAAATATCCTCTTACTTTGTAAGGAAAATGCTTCATAAAGCTGCGTATTTCTATTATAGTTCATTGTCTGTGGATACAGAATATGGGATCTGATAGTGTCTTCCATTAAAAGTGAGAAACCTCCTACTGACTTCATTGCCAGATTTGGTCCTTAAGCAGTGTAAAATAGAGCTGACTTTTGAAAATGTACTGCTTTTCTCTACAGATTGTTCATCTTTTGTTGTCTGCTACAAGGATTCCACTTCCTACAGCTGTATTTCTAATTGAGAGTATGTTTTAATAAATACTTTATCTTAAAAGGTATACAGAGACCTGATACAGTAAAATAAAACACAGGTTACTGACTGTAGGTTGTCTTAATGTTTAGGTGTGGGAATTACGTATAGCACTCATTAGCAAGTATACATTCAGGATAGTCAAAGTGCTGTTATATATGCAGAGTAATTCTCCTAGAGAGGTATCTGGACAGCTTTAGTGCTCTAAATGTCTATGGTGTTTATTCAATATGTTTGGGAGAATTATATGCAACTGTAGCCAGTAGTAGCTCTGGCTATCCTGTACTTGATGCAGGTTTTCTTTTGAGATGGTTTACCAAGCCTTCAGTTTTAACAAGGTCGATTTCAGAGGCTCCTTCTTTCTCTTCTGAATTCCCATAAGCATTTTGGTTGCTCTTCATGCATCAAATAAGAATAAAATATCTTTAAGTTAAAGCCTTACTCAGTTTCTTTTAATCTCTCTTCAGTGCACAAAGATTGTGAAGAGCAAAGAGAACATGGAAATGGTTCTGAGCAGAAGAATTCTAAGTGGTGGGAAAGTTATCATCTATTCTGCCAAAAAAAAAAAAAAAAAAAACAAAAAAAAAAAAAACAAAAAAAAAAAAAACAAAAAACCTAGGGATGTAAAAAAGTAGGGAAAAGGGGCAGTAAAATGTAAAGACAGAGGAGAAAGTAGCAAAAAGGGGTACACACCAGAAGCTTGCAAGAGAAAACTGGTGGTGGAAAAGGAGAACTCGGAGGGATGCTAGATAAGAATCACTATGACAGAGTGAGCGATTCTACCTTCTCTGTTCCCCAGAAGTTCTGATAGAGCCTAGACAATGAAAATTGGGAAGGGGTGTGCAGAAGGGATGAATTTTTACAGCTATATGTGATGTAAATTTGCTTTCCAGTTAAATTTTTCTGTCTCAACAGTTGCAGTAAGCTTGTGAAAGTGATGCCGCATGTTTAAATGACAGCCAAGCATTTAAAAAACATCAGCATTCATTTATATCTCACACAATTGTTTTCCCATATATCTGGTAAGAATTTCAAAGACTAAGTTGGAATTAGAAGGTTAAACTAAGAAAACCAAAACAGAAACAAAAATCTGTGTAATCTTATAAATGTTTGCTGCTTTCACTTGGACCAAAAGAAGGGTTTCATGCAGACTTCAAGAACTGAGATACAGCATTGTATTCTAAAATATAAGTAGTGTTTCGTAATTATGCACTGTGGAGGATTAAAATGCTTCATAATATGCTTTACTCATAAGAGAGCAATGCTTTCTATCCTACAGGTCAGAAAAGTAAGAAGTTTTTCTGTCTGTTTCCCATTTAAGAAAACCTACAAAAGCCTTTGTGTTGCTATGATAATAGATGCATATAAGGTGTTCATGTCCCCAGTGAAGAAAAAATTGCTCTATATTTGTAATCTAGGTGAAAACATGTTAAGACAGAATGTTCTCTTCAAGTTTTTCTAGATCAACAGTTATTGGCTAGGTGAGCTTATTGTGTCTCATGCTCCTAATCCATCATATATATCTCACTTAAATATATGCTCTTCACTTGGGTGGAAAAAATGTTGAGAGATGTGCTTACATCTTTAACATAGTAATTGTTCAGTTAATCCCATTTATAGGGGAAAGAGGCTATACTTCACTGATACCGATTAAATATCCTATACTGAGTTCTATATAAATAGCTACAAATGTGCACAATGGTTACATTACATGGTATATTTAACAACATAGCTAAATCAGAAAGTATGAGCTATGCCTTTAGTGATGGGAGTACTAACGATTGCATGCAAGAAGATTTTTGCATGCAACCATGAAGGAAATAATTGCTGTTCAGTATTATTCAGTTAAGTTTGCATATCAGTAAAAACACATGCACAGAGGCTCCACCTACATTCCTAGTGCCTCAGAACTGATATGAGTGCAGCATAGATTAATGCATTAGAAGGTATTACAGTATTCACAACTTGCAAAGTGCGTGTAATTTTTAACAGAGTTAATTTGACCACTGTCAGATGAAATTGCAATGGTGATATTCAGGTTTTATTATTTTTTTTACTATTATTATTTTAAACATAAAATACCATAGGTGGCATTTTACAGATTTATGAGAAGACTACTACTGCTGAGATTTTAAATCTTGTGGCTTTTTTCCTCTTTGATTCATTTCAGATATAAATATATAAAGCAAGTGTTTGTTTTTCATATTTCAGATGGAAGACTTTATTTGAAGACTACTGTCATGTACTGAGTTTTTCCTGCTGAAGATACCCGTGCTACAGTAAAAAACTTTGCAGTAAGAGATTGGCTTATAAGGAATTCTGTGGAAACAAAGTGTTTTCAAGGCAACTTCCTCAACTTCATTTATCAATGTTCTTCAAAAATGTAAAGAATTCTACAAGAGTGTCCTCCTTTGGTTATCTCCTGTGGCTCAACCCGGAGACCTAGAGAATGTTCGTAAATGTACAGTAGCACTCTTCTTACAGTGAAAATCTGCGTCTCTGCGCCGGACTATTGCATCCAAAATTACAGGCGGGTCAGAACAAGGCTGAGTATTCCCTTTCTCAAGGAATGCAGACTTTGTCCTCCTCTGATGTTTCTATTTGAGCACATCAAATGATCCTTCCAGCGGTGTCCAAGTACACTTACAGACTGTTATATCATACCGAAACCAGCAAGACAGCTCAGAAATGAACTTATAGAGGGCATAAGAGGATTCTTATTAAAAAAAAAAGTAAAAAAAAAAAAAAAAAAGGTAAAAGAAAAAAAAATTGATACATTCAGTTTTCAAACTATGATTGTGGGTTTTCTTCTAAAGACATTTTTTCCACATGCTTTCAAGAGACCAACACATGTATGTTAGACTACATTAAGTGAAATGGAATTTTGTGTAAGTGAAAAGAAATGCTGAATGTAAACAAACTGTTTTACTGTTCACAAAGTCTCTTTTCCTAAAATAAAAAAATTATGATAAAAAGAGTAATAATTTCTCATTGTAAACTGGCAGGGGTTTATGAAATAAAAGACTTTGCTTCTTATCAAACTGTTGGTCACATGTACAGTATATAACACAAATCACACAAGGAAGGTATTATGTATGCAGTAGAAATCTAGAGTTTAGGAAATGAAAATTTTAGATAATATTGTTTTGTCACCCTGTTGGTCAGAAAGACACCTTTCTAGTTTTAACGCATGCAGGCATGTAAATATTTGTCCTGGAGTCACAGTATTACTGAATGAGATCTTAAGCATCTGGTAACAAGTCAGAATTCTGTATCAGCCACTTTTATTTGTATATTGAGCCCTGGTTAGTGCCCTGATTAGTGCACTTTTAAGAATGGACTGTGGCTGAGCAGCAAGTCAAAATGCCAGAAATATTTTTATATGTTAATGTCATATTGCGTCAATGTTGCTAAAAAAAGAAAACCTAACAAACACTTGATGTATCAGTCCAATTCCACGTAGAACTGAGTGATACAGTTGAAGTCTGTTGTCCCTCCCACCTTGTCTTAGGGATGGGTGGTTATGTGTTACTTTCACTGTCTTTATGAAAGCTACAATATGTGTTTTCACCTTTGTGCTGATAACTGGAAGTAAGCTGCAACACAGTGCTTATTACATTACTAAAAGTTATGTTCTTTGCTTTGCGTACATTTGGGTTACCCCTTTAAAGACTGATTTTGTGAATCAGTGCTATTACTGTAAGTTTTGTGATTATGTTTTCTTCATCTAATGTTTTAAGCATATAAAATATTATTTATTACATGGAAACATATCAAAACCTTAAATGTCTAAAATGCCTAACTTAAAGCAAATATTTCTTTAAAAATAGTTCTGATTGGATATTAATATTATTTTGTCAAAAAAAAAAATCTAATGTTTTGTAAACTCTAGCACTGAGCTTCTATAGTTTGTAGGTCTTCCTTGCAATACTGGTACACGTTTACTTTGTGTCATTCATATTTACTCCACCACAACCCTTTTTTAACAATAGAAAAATGTATATACAAGTTCACACCACAGTGATTTTTTTTTTTAAAGAAATATTGAGCAATATTTTTCATTAAATATTGTTACCTAATACTTTGTAGTGATATTATTTTCTAACCATGATTCTTTCATAATTTTAATAGTTGCTTGAACACATATGGGATTCTGTACTCCAGTTTTTTTCATATGCAGTCTTTAAAGGGTTAACAGCTGTAAAGTTAGATGGACTTGTGGCAAGCTTTTGAATCATTCATATCTGGAAGAGAATTAAAAGCCTACAACTGAAATATGTAGTAGCATCCACCATTGCTCTGCTCCTTGCATAGAGTCACCTGTAAGTAGGTTTAGTAGTTTTACAGTATATACGTTCAAGACCTTTGGGAATGCCTCAGTGTTTGGCTTGGTACATAAATGGGAATGTTAAGGATTAAGAGGGAACCAATTTATAAGATGGAAGTTTAGAAAGAATCTTGCTAAAACCAGTGTAAATATTACAGACCATGAGATGTTACCGTAAGTTGAATTTTTTGCCCCTCTTTAGTTACACAGGTTTTGGGTTGGTATTTTGGTTTTGGTTTTTGATTTGGATTTTTTTTTTGGCATAGATTATGAAGAAAAGTTGTGCTCATGTTATTGTTTATATGCTTTTGTAATCTTAAAGATATTAATGTCTAGTTGTTCTATATTATAACCACATTTGCGCTCTATGCAAGCCCTTGGAACAGAACATACTCATCTTCATGTAGGACCTATGAAAATTGTCTATTTTTATCTATATATTTAAAGTTTTCTAAAAATGAAAAAAAGGTTATTACGAATTTTGTTGTACAAAATCTGTACAAAAATCTGTTTTTACATCATAATGCAAGAATTGGAAATTTTTCTATGGTAGCCTAGTTATTTGAGCCTGGTTTCAATGTGAGAACCACGTTTACTGTTATTGTATTTAATTTTCTTTTCTTTTCAACAATCTGCTAATAAAACTGTCTGAAATCTCCCTGTGACTTTATTTACAGTTCATCTTTATTAAATTTTCTGAAATGTGTAACATCAGAGGAATATTTACTTTCTAATGGGAGGCATCTAAAAACAACATAAGTCAGCTCTTTGTAATGTGAGGAAAACAATGCTGAATGATTTTATTTAACATGCAACTGCTTCTATCTCTAATATGAATTACTGTGGTGAAAAACATCATAAAAGCACACTCTGTGGTTATTGTTTAACAAGCAGATTTTCCATATTTTTTTTTCTTGCCAGCTAAGCAAACTGCCCCCATCTACATGATTTATTTATGTACATTTCTCAGTTTATGAAGCTGTTATTTGTACCTTTTTCCTTTATATTATGATATTCCCATGATTCTTATTTCTCAAAGCTTTGTGCTGAATAATGTAAAGTGGGCACATTGATGGAACAAAACATATTATTCCCCTAACTACAAAAATGCAGTGGTAATTCGGTTGGTTTTGTCTCAAATCTCCTTCACTTGATAAAATGTGTTTAGAAACTTTGGTATCCTAACACAAGCAGTGAGTTTTTCAACATTTAAACAGGTATGTGGAGAAATAAATAGTTCTGTCTTAGCATACCTTTAAGTGGTATTGTGAGGGGAAAAAAGGGGTAATTTTTTTTTTTTTTTTTTTTTTGAAGATTAAGATAGTTATTTAAGAACAAATCTGGAAGTAAGATATTTCTGCTTACAGAAAATTCAAAAGTCAGAGATGTATGATTGATTTTGAGTATTCTTCTTTATTTCCCTGCCTTGCCTGGCCTTGCCTTGCCTTACTGTCCCATCCCTTCCTTCCCCTTCCTTTCTGAGCCATACCTACCTGAATGTTTCTGATTTCAATAGGGAGCAGGCTTGTTTGGGAAAGCAGAAGAGATTAGCTTTCTTGGACCAGCCCATTTCATCATCCCTAGTCCCTGGGGACTACAAGTGTGAGGCTGACAGGCTTCCTGGGTTCTGGCAGGTTGTTGTTGCTGGCTAGTTGATGAGGTTTTTGGATAGCTGTATATAGGACAATCACAATATCCTTCCATCTGAATTAAAATAGACTTGTCCCACAGGTCTATGTTAGTAAGCATCCCAGCTATGCCACAGCCAGGTCCCCTCCTATAAGCTCTTTCATGGTTAAAGCAGGGAAAAAGTAAGTTCACTGATCTCGCAGTCCACCTCACTCCCAAAAATGAATGATCTCTACAGTAACAGACTAGAAACCCACCTGTGTGTTTTTAAGCAAACCAGGAAATAGTTTATTTCAACAGGAAGGAACCTGCCCTCACATAAATTCCACTCTATCTCTATTAATAAATCATTGATTTATCCATTCACATTAGCTGGGATTTATCAGGGCAAGGTTGAATGAACCAATAGCTAGTCAGATGTTGATACTCCTTGTTACAGTAAAACTAAGCTCTGCCAAAGCTCAGGTCAAAATCAAGAAGATGTTGCCCTAAATGTATCTTGCCTGTAACTTAGTAGTAGGTTATGATCAGATCCTGAAGAAGTTTGGAGACAACAGCTAGGTGCCTAAAGTTTTAGGAAAATCCTTGAGGAAATGACAGACTCAATTGAGAAAGAATTTTTGTTTTTCTTTTGCTATGGAAAGAGATTTAAGGTTGGGTTTTGATCTGAAAGGTAAACCTCTTTATTTGTTGAAGATGCTCTAAATTCTTGAAAATTGCTTGCTATTTGCTTACATGTTATTTCACACAGGACGGTGCAATAAACAAAGCCTGAGGCCAAGATTTTCAAGCGTGACTGCTGGTTACAGGTGCTTCTAGTTTTGATGGCCAAACTTCAGACATTTTTAGTGTCTTGCACAAAATGAAATGTCCTAGCTCCAGGGTTCTGTGAAACTTACTTTTTCAGTAGCTGCTGTCTTAGCTCATCCACAAGATACTGAGGAATTTATTAGTGTGACTTTGCTGAGCTGGAGCTCACCCTGATCAATGACGATGGTTCCACCACTGTCAGTATCACATCATTTCAAGCAGAAGCTTCTTCTGTAAAAAGCTTCATTTTCAAAGGGAGAGGAAACAAAGATTTTCTGAAATTCATGTTCTCAGAAAGAATCAAGTTAGAAATAAAAATCTCTAGACATCCAGAGTACTTGAAGCTTTGCAAATGTTCACCCAAAGGTCAAATACTACTATGCAATTTGGGAGAATTTGCATATAATATGTGGATATACAGGATTTCTTCATCCAAGTTATAGTAACAATGGTTGTCGTAGTCCAGTGAATTAGTTAATTGATCCTCTAAATTTGGATTATAAAGACAGAGCCAGATTCATCTTGCTGTATACAGCAAAAGGACAAGAATAAAAACAGATACCAGTTGCAACAAATGAAATTCCAACTGGATATAAGGGGAAAAAAAATCAAGATGAGAGTGATGAAGCACTAGAACAGTTTTCCCAGAGAAATTCTGGGATCTCCATATTTTGAGATTTTCAAAGCTGAGGTGAGCAAGGCTCTGGGAAAACTGATCTAACTTTGCCCAGTTTAAAGAGGGTTAGCCTAGTTGACCTTCAGAGGTCCATTCCAACCTCAGGTTTTTATGATTCTAAACCTACAAAACTTACAGACATGATGCCCTTGTAGGCAGAACACTTTCTGTATCCAATTTAGAAGGGAGGAAAATTTTATCAAATAAACAGCAGTTACCAGTTCTAGAATAGAAATTACTGGGATATGTTTAAGGATTCACAGCTTTTTGATCTTCCATATCAAGAGGCCAGAAGAATGAGCTGCACTAACA